TATATAATAAAATTAAAAGCATTAGTTCCGTTTCGTCTTCACCGAATATTGGAATATCTTATTTTTAAATTTACTGAGTTTTAAACGCACATATAAATTCATAATTTACTGTTTCCAAGGATGCAGAGAAATCCAGTCATTCAGATAGGGATGGTAGCGTCTTCATTTTTATTAACTATTGTTGTATTAATTATGAGTTACGTTCGAAAAAGAGGTTAAGTTTAGTGGGGGGTAGGGGGTTATTTTTCAACGAATTCTGACATCCGTTAAATGCGTGTCGTCTGTTTTTTTTTATTTATTATTAACGCTAAAAACTTTTTTAGGCATATATATATATATATATATATATATATATATATATATATATATATATATATATATATATATAATGTATATCTATAGTTAAAAAAATTGTTAGAAAGATTCTGTACAAAAAGTTGTTGTATAGACTAAAATGAGAATTGGAAATAAAGGCCCCTATTACTATTTAATATAGTAATATTTATTTATAATATATGAATATTTACAGAGAAGAATTAAAATTAAATCTTACTTACAATTGGATTTTCAGTCTTTCTTCTTAGACAAATAATTTCTTGTTTTTCTTTATCATTTTTCCTTTTTTTTTTACTTTAAACTGTTTCTATCTCCACGTGTTGATGCTTATACGCAATCCTGAAATTTCGGATTCTCAAGTTTTCATTGTTGCGATTGTTTTCGGCGAGTTTTTACAGGATGTTTTGAGACAAATCTTTTTGTACGATAACAATTTTTATAACGTGGAAATTAATTTGGCAATAATCGAAATTAATTGCGAAATCCAGCGAAAGTCACCCATGAAATAAAAATAAATGTGTATACTGAAAGTAAGCACCTACATGCATCAAATTGTCTTAAACTTAAGTGGTGGCAAAAGAATTATCGTTTAACTTTTAATAGTTAAGCTTAAATATTAATGTCAGCTATTGTGAGGAAGGGCCAATCAGGATCCCTTCGCAGGAGCTATTTTAAATGCCGCATGAAAGGACGCTTTTAAGCTAGTATATATATATATAAGAATGATTCGGCTCAATGTACGTGGCAAGGTAGCTCTTCACTGCGGACCATTGGCACCAAGGATTGGAATCTATTCGAACATCTGCCATGAAAATAGCGATAGTTTTTTTTTTGAGGGGGGGCTATTAACGTTTCATCTGTAGGATAGGGGTTGAAAGGTGGAAAACAATTCATCGCCCACAAAGTTGCGTAAATAATTTTGAACTTAGTCGAGTCTGGCATGTGGGCAGCTCCGGCCAAGAGGTAGCAGCTATAATACATTTTTTTTGTTTGTTTGATCTGGCTCCTGTAGTAATAGAGGAAGTTAGAAGATGACAGGTACTTTCATTGTGGGGTACAAGGAGTCGACCATTTTTACAGTATCTTTAGCGAAGGATCGTATATCTGAGTTAAAATGCAGCTCTGGTTTGGTTTGGTTTACGTCATAATCTCAATAGGTTATCTAATGCCGACAAGATTTTTATTACTGGAAATTTTTTTTCTATATTTCTGAAATGAGATATTACATACAGTATTTGCATTATTCGGACTATTGTTTTCATCTTTGTCGCCATATTTGTTACAACGTTTCGGCTGTTGTACGCTCCGGCCTTCTTCAGATGGTTGGAATGTCGAACTGAACCCTTTATTTCGCTCAGAAATATGGCGACAAAGATGAAAACAATAGTCCGAATAATGTAAATAAGGTAATATTTTTTCTCAAAAATATATTGTTGATAATATTTTTTTCAAAAATATATTTCCGGTAAAAACTTTTCCAAAAAAGTATTGCTGCAATTAAAACTTATTTTTATACTTTAATATGTATGTATTTTAACCTCTTTTGGTGTGTGTGTGTTGGGAGGGTAACTATTTGTCCATAGCTGGGACCCTGACAGGTGCTACCACCCTGGGTCAGGGAGGACCTGGGAAGAACAGCAATTAAGAAGTCGTTCCAAGCTCTTCAAAACCTCCCCATCATAGTTCTTACTGCTAGATGTAGTTTATCGTCATACCCAATACGTTTCCTTGAGAGTACAACCATTCATCAAATTTGGAAGAGGTTACTAGTTTGGTTTGGGAGTTATTCAATGTTACAAGCCTGTTTCTCTTAGATTATCTTGCTTAAACCTTGTTTATTTATTTTTAGTTTCTTAGTTTTTTATCTTCTTTTTCTTTCACCGCAAAATCTGGGAAATTTGTGGGTTCTTTAAAGCTGAAACCTATTTTAAATTGTTAGAATATTTTTTTTTTTTATCGCGTGTGAATATGTCATTAGGAATTTTTTGGGGGATGACAATGATTTATCCAGAAAAAAGTCCCACTATTTAACCCATAGCTCGGGAGAAAAACAGATTTATACTTTTTCCAACGGTATTTGCGCATAAGCAAATATAACGAACTAGACTGGAATTCGTATCAGCGAATTAATTTGGATATATCGGGACTATTACCTGTATTATTAATTCTCGGTGTAAAAATACAATGCTTGTAAAATCTAAACAAAAGATAATATTTTCTATTGAATCAGGTACATTTTACGATGAAGCAATGTGTCGAAAAAGATTGTACTGCGCCATTCTTCAAATTGGGTGAAGCCTGCACACTTTCTGAACCACAGCTCGAGCACTTGTTCGAAATCCGACTCAGCTTTGTCTTTGCGTCCACCGCCCAATGTATGTGTGTCCGTGAGCGTCTTAGGCAAATTAACCGCTTGTTGCTTTAATGGGTGTCCCACGTGGATGTCATCGGTGAATTAAAAAAAAAAAACAAACATTGGTGCTTTTAAGCGTAGATCAAATGTAGTACAAGGCCGAAAGAGTGGGGCACCCAGTGTGGATCGATCTCACAATCAGTCGTAATTTATCTAATGAGACAAACTTGCTAATCATTACAACAAGCCGAAGACCCCAATGGCGGTTTTTAAGCGTAGCTTAGTTGTGGCACAAGACCGAAAGTATGAAGCACCCAGTGAGGATCGATCTCACTACTCCGTCCTAATTGATCTAGTGAGACAAGCGTGCTAACCATTACACCAGGTCAAAGTGCCCAATGGTGGTTTCTAAGCGTAGCTTAGTTGTGGCACAAGTCCAAATATATGGGGCACCCAGTGAGGATCGATCTCACTATTCAGTCGTAATTGATTTAGTGAGACAAGATTGCTAACCATTGTAACACTTCGAAATGCTCCCAGCGGTTCTTTTATAACAAGAAATTACTTGCCAAGAAGACAGTCAGTCCTTGGCGCTTAGTCTACCAACAAAATTAGCCGAGTTTTCATCAACAAACAAAGAAATCACATTCCTTCTTTGCAGAAAGGAAATTAATTTCTTCTTCTCAACACAAAAAAATGTATAACGAAATTGAAAAGGTTCTCGTGTTAGGCGTAAATGTTTAGAAAGTATTTTAATCGCTAGATTATTTACAGCAGTGCTACTCAAAGTGGTGGTCCGCGAACCGTTGCCGGTACGCGAACTATCAACTACCGGTACGTGGCCAGTGTCCAGGTCATGTTAAGGAATCATTTGTAAAGATTAAGGTTATATAATTTTTGTTCTCGTCTTAATAAACTGCTTATTTTTTATTTCTTTTTGTATGTTTTGATATTGCATTATGTTTTGCAACATAAATGGAAGATACAAAATACACAATTTCTTTTATATTCATTATATATACCGTTTTTGGTATAAATTAATATTACCACGAAATAGGACAGATACGTGACACATTGAGGGAAAAAATGCCGGTCCGCCATATTAGATTTGAGTAACACTGGTCTACAGTAAGTTTGGGTGTCGTTCGGTTGTATGGAATTTAAAACTTGTTTATCGGGTGTATCTTCGGTGGTATGTGTTCATATATAATCAATTCAACAAGAAGCATACAAAAAAATGTTTGTTTTGTTTTTTTATAGTGAGAATCGCCATTTACAAGGCTCGGGTGCCATTCGAGTTAGAGGGTTACGTTAGGTAGGCATTTGTGAGGGAGATAACGATTAACGCTTGAATATATTAAGATTGTAGAGATCGGGGAAACATCCTGTTAAGAACCGGTTCCAAGGGGCAATGGTTCGCAGGAAGACGCCGATCGAGTGGAACTTACTTCTCACCGGTGGAATACGGAGGGAATGTGGGTGGTTTGCGACTATGTAAGTCGGGTGACGTGTTCTTGCTGTGAAGGTTCGATTTGGCGGGACCAGGGAATGTAGTTCGTCTGAGCACTTTCCATGAAAGTAGCGGTAGAGCAGTAAGAGGCCAGCCCGTGGGAGAGGGGTTGAAGAGTGAAGAATAATTCGTCACCCACAAGGGCTCGGAGATGATTTTGAACTCTATCAAGGCTGGAAAGAGATGTCTTGGCAGCTACTTACCCAGATATGACAACAGTACTCTATGCTTCCACGGACCGCTTTTATCTCTTTATTTTATATGAACTGTAGCGAAACAAAGTTCTCAATGTCTCAAGGTAAGTCCGTTTTCTTTCTGGTCCAGGATTTAGGACATATAAGTTAAAACATCGTATATTCAGCCATATGCAGAGTTGGAACGACCAAAGTAAAGTTTGTACTTTATGGTTGGAAGGTTTAAATATGGTTATACTATGTCCGTTTTCTTTTTTCTTGGTCCAGAATTTAGGGTAAGCAGGGATAATCAGCGTCATAATGGTTGCACTCAAATCAGCGTTGCGCTGATTTGGAACAACCACTATGTAACGGACTCCCAGAAATTTTTCCCGAATTATTACAATCGCTTCAAATCTAGTGTCAATCATTACCTATAGAACAAATCTTCATAATATGCACTCATCTTATCGTTTTACTCCAGCTTCAGTGGTTCTTGGGTCTTGTATTAGGTGAGGAATTTAAAAAAGGGGAAAATCCGAGGTAGTAAGCCAGTATAAGCAGCATTCTTTTCAGGGCTCATCTCGTCTTTTTATGTATATGTATGTGCGTCTGTATCTGCGTCTCTCTAAGAGAGAACTAGTGATAGATAGATAGATAGAGAGAGAGAGAGAGAGAGAGAGCTAGAGAGAAAAATAATAATATGGAGAGGAGGAGAGCAAAATAGATGAATGAATAAGTGAAGCGTGACTCTCTCTCTCTCTCTCTCTCTCTCTCTCTCTCTCTCTCTCTCTCTGCTCCCACCTTCATACTTCGTGTTGTATTTTCCGGATCCTCGATGGATGTGCCTGATTAAGCCGGCCTGTCTGGATTCACCCACACTGACGCTAGACAATAAAGCGTCGGGCAATGAAGAGCTGCTAAATAAATGAGTTTTGATTTATGAGCGTCTGGTAAATATGAGGGAAAGAAAGGAACAATAAGAGAGAAGAAGAAATCGTAATGGGAACATAGGTGGTGGTGGTGGTGGTTAGTAAGATGAAGGCAAGCGAGAAGCGGAATGATGAAGAACAAAGAAAGAGAGGGAGGAGGATTATGACAGGGTGTAACAGAGAGAATATTATGACAGAGAGAAGATGAATGATGAAGTAAAAGAAAGAGAGAGAGGGGGGGATTATGACGAAGAGTAAGGGAGATGGAAAACTGATGACGGAGAGAGGAAGAATGATGAAGAAAAGAGAAAGAAATTATGATATATGATAATATGAAAAGAGAAAGATGGGAAAATGATAATGGAGAGAGGAGGAATTTTGAAGAAAAGAGAAAAGGTGAGAGAGGTAGATTATGACGGGAAGGGAGAGAAAAGGAAAAATGATGACGGAGAGACGAAGTATGATGAAGAAAAGAGAGAGAGACCCAAAGAGAGAGAGTGAGGGGGAGAGTGGGTTATGACGGGGAGAGTGAGAGATGAAAAATGATGAAGGAGAGGGGAGGGATGATAAGATAAAAGAGAAAATAAGAGAGAGGGGGGTTATGAAGGTTAGAAAGTGAGATGGAAAAATGATGACGGAGAGAGAAAGAATGACGAAGAAAAGAGAAAGAGAGAAAGAGGGGGATTATGACGGGCTGTAAGAAAGATGGAAAAATGATGATGGATAGAAGAGGAATGATGAAAAAAAAAGAAAGGGAGAGAGAGGTGGAGTATGAGGGGGAGTAAAAGAAATGGAAAATAATTACGGCGAGAGGAGAAATGATGAAGAAAAAGAAAGAGAGAGAGGGAGGGATTATGACAGTGAGAGAGAGAGAGATGGAAAAATGATGACGGAGAGAGGAGGTATGATGAAGAAAAGAGAGAGAGGGAGAGTGGGTTTATGACGAGGAGAGTGAGAGATGGAAAAAGGATGACGGAGAGGCGAGGGATGATAAAGAAAAGAGAAAAGTAAGAGAGAGGGGGATTATGACGGTCAGAGAGAGAGGGAGAGTGAGAGAGAGAGAGATGGAAAAATGATGACGGAGAGAGGAGGTATGATGAAGAAAAGAGAGAGAGGGAGAGTAGGTTTATGACGAGGAGAGTGAGAGATGGAAAAAGGATAACGGAGAGGCGAGGGATGATAAAGAAAAGCGCGTGTGGGATTACGACAGGGAGAGAAGGAGAGACAGATGAAAAGGATGACGGAGAGAAGAGTAATGATGAAGAAAAGAGAAAAAAGAGAAAGAGGAAAATAATGACGAGGAAAGATGGGTAGATTACGTCAGGGAGAAGGTGATAACGGATGAGACAGAGGAGGGAGATTTTGATAGAGAAAGATAGATGAAGGGAATAAGGAGAGAGATGAGTGAAATAATGATAGAGAGAGAGAAAGAGAGAGGGAGGAAGAAAATGAGGATGAGGAGAGAGATTATGACGAAGCGAGGGGGATGATGAAGAGGAGAGAGTGAGAGGGGGAAGGAAATGATAATGAGGAAAAAGACGTAGTTTATAATTGGTAAAAAGAGAGAAAAATAAATGTTGACAGACGGCGTAGATGGCGGACATAACAGAGAGAAGAAGAAGAAGAAGAAGAAGAAGAAGAAGACATAAGGTGGAATAAAATGGTGACAGTTTGAGAGAGGAGGGAGACTATGACTGAGATAGGGAGAATGATGAAGAAGGGAATAAGAGAGGGTAATGATGACGATAAGTGAGACAGATAGATAATGAGCGGTAGGAAGAGGATGAGAAATAAAGATTAGAGAGAGAGAGAGAGAAGGGAGTTTCTGATATATAAAGGGAGAGAGAAGGTGGAATTATGACATAGAGAGAGGAACATTGATAAAGGTTTGGTTTGATCTATTTTGTTTTACGGCATATCAACCTCAATGGGTTATTTAATGCCGACAAGATTTTTAGGATAGATTCTTATGAATAGAATATGTATTCTTTGGAAGAAATCCGATTTTAGATCAGTTATCACTGATGTATTTTTATAAAGAGGGTTTTCGCCGTGAGTTTTCCTAGGTTTGGTTTGGTTTGATTTATTTTGTTTTATGGCATATCTACCTCAAAGGGTTATTTAATACCGACAAGATACTGGTAATACCTTTTCCAAAAATGTGTTTCTGGTAATATTTTTTCTTCAAAAATGTGTTGCTGGTTATAATTTTTCTTCAAAAATCTATTGCTGGTATTAAAACCTATATTTACACTTACATGGTATTTTGATCCCAGTTTGAGGTTTAATTATTTTCCCATAGCTGGGATCCTAACAGGTGCTACCACCACGGGTGAGGGTGGATCTGGGAATACCAGCAATTAAGAAGTGGTTCCACGCTCCTCAAAACCTCCTGTTCAGAGGCCTAACTGTTGGACGTAGTTTATCGTCTTACCCAGGGCACCTCATTTTTTTGGCCAGGAGGTGGGTATTACCCCTCTGCAGAGGGGCAGTCAATGTATTCAGGAGCTTCAGCCGACGGCGGACAATGATAAAGTAGAGATTGAGTGAAAGTGAAAGATAATTCTGAGTTAGAGAGAGAGAGAGAGAGAGAGAGACCGGGTTGAGTGCAACTGAAAAAGAGACAGACAGAAGAGAGAGAGAGAGAGACTCATATGCACACTGGGCTCAGACAATAAAGCTGCACAGACATTTGGGGTTTTTGACCCCCATTAGTTGTACTTAAGAGGAAGATTAAAAAAAAACATTTACATATTTGTAATTAAAAAATAAGATTGTAAAGATAAACTGACGAATGTCTAAACTTCTAGTGAAAAGTTTTATTCAATGCAATTTGACTACTACCATAAGCAAGGTTCAGCCATTTCTTTTATAGTCGAGTAGTTCGAAAGGGAGATAAATATGATTATCTTTACCACAGGGGGTTTATATCTAGAAATACTGGCCTGTCATGAAGAGCTAAAATTCCTAAAAAGATGTTAAAATTTTCATTTGACCCATTTAGACTTTAGAATTAGAATTCCGCCCCCCCCCTATACGTACGCCAAAAAAAGATATGGGAATAGTTGTTTTGGATCATAGTTTTCTAGTAAATACAAGGAATTTATGTCAAAAACTATTTCGTATCCGTCATATGATGACAAACGTAGGTAATGATCAGTTTAACACCTGAAAAGAAAGGGCGATGCGCACTACTCCTCACCCCGACCGGCAGACCCAAGCCTAATTGGGGACTCGTGCAGTGTTTTATGACGCTCGCTATCTTATTAGCATTTGCTTTTTTGTTTAAATCTATATTTATATACGTTACAAATTAAACTAAGCACAGCTCACTATTAAAGGATGTAATAATTTCGAGCATTTTGACGTTATTCTGGGGATTTTTTGTCAAAAATTGTGAATTTTGTTTTTGTTCATGCTAAGTCTTGAAAAAAATAAAATTCACTATTTCTTTTTATCTACAGTGTTGAATGTGCTAAATTATTCACCTTTTTAAAAAAACAAAATCTCAAGTTGATTTTAAAAATGGCCGCAAAACGTTGTTGATTAATTTAAAATGGAATCATCTATTATGACATGTCTCTAATTTGTATTTAGATACATTGTATTTATTTTCAATTCTTCTAGTTGAATTGTTCGCCTATTTTGCATAAGACCCATTATTCTACATAATTAGATTACAATAAAATTTGTATTTTATGTGAATACTATCTTATGAAAATTAAGATCTACTATAGGGGAGGGCCTTACCATAGATAGGGGCATTATAAATTCGGGGGGCGGGAAACGAGACTCTTGTACCAACCCTGGAACTGAGTAAGCCTGAAATAACTTCCTAAGAATTTATTTTATAAATTTTAAGATTTAAACTGTTCTAATATTATTTAATATTTGCATTCAATTACGTGATAATACATTTGGGAATGGTATAAATCCATCTCTTCTCAGTCTTTACCCTCCTTCTCTTAACTATGGGCAACCAGCAGGACATACTGGGTCCTATGGCCTTGAGTGGCAAGCGGTCTAGGAGAAGGACAAGTCTGAATATAAAACCTGAAGACCGGACCCTCTCCATATTCCCTGGTGTTCGACTGTCCGTCAAGAGCTTGGAGAGGAGATGGTCGCCGCCAACTATCTGAAAGCAATTGAAAGCATCATGAGGCAGAAGAATCAATGTCTCTCCGCCCCCAAATCCGACGATCGATGCAATTGAGGGACTGACTGATGGTGATTTCAATGTGGTATACTTGGGTATTTTTTAAAAAAATCATTTCACCCCCATGCAAGGCGAGAATGCCACTAGTACACAGGGGTTTACAGGAACTGTAAGTGGGAGAAAAGACTGGGTATAGCGAGGATTGAAGAAAGGATCTCTATCTATAAAAGGCAGGATGTGTGTGTGTGTGTGTGTGTGTGTGTGTGTGTGTGTGTGTGTGTGTGTGTGTGTGTGTATAACGAATGCACGGCCGCAATTCTCGACGGATTTGCACCAAAATTTACATGTACATGTTCCAAGTTAGTGGAAAGGCCAAGACCGACTTTGCATTTCCCAACTCCCATCGATAGTAGAAATAATCGATTTTTTATGCTTCTACGGCACTTTTCATGTACTTTGCGGCCATTTTCTACTAGCCAGAGTGAGACCCTATAGCTGGCTGCCACAAATAGGCAGGAAGATTCTATTGGCCAGCGTGAGAGCCAACGGCTGACTGACACGAATGTTAACTAGCATGCTAGCATGCAAAAAAAATCAATAGCTGCATTCGTCACAAGTGCCAAAAATTTAAATCTGCATGGCTCATTCGCTTGCTTAAACTCAACGTTGATTCTGATTCCGCAGAACTGGGTTGGGTTTGAAAATGTTTTGTTGTTAACATACTTTTTTCATTTGGTTTTACCAGTTACGAGTCCTGTTTTAAAAAAAATCGTTTTGTGTTCTTTTGTTTAGTTCTTTTTTAAAAGCAGATTTAATGTTTAGTATAGAATTGCTTAGAAAATATTCGCAGTGTGAGATAGGCAAGAAGTAAAACATGTTAAACATCAGTACGGAAAAAGGCACTCCTTTAAAGCCAAAGAAGGTCAAAAATATTTTAAGTCAAGTGATAGCGATTGCTGTATTATTCGTACGATTTTTGAATCAAGCACAGGCAACGCCGGGCCATGCTGCTAGTAAAAAATAACTGGATTGAAGAAGATAGAAGATGGCGATTACCACTAAAATGTAGAAAAGATGTTACGGCATTTTTGTTATGTTTAGCATTACAGTGAGACCCCGCCTATTCGCGTTTCAGCATTCACGGCTTCACTCATTAGCGGATTTTTCTTTAGAACATATATACTTGTTATTCGCGGAAACCCCGAAGTTTTTCTGAAGAACATATGTACAAATTATTCACTGAGAACTTCCTCGATTTGCATATTTTTTTGATGGAACATATTTAAAATATTCTATTATTTTCCTGTTATTTAAGTGACTTAAAAATATAACAGTTCATTTTTATAGTAAAAATTGACAGAATTGTATATCATGATTTTAAAAAAACAAACGCAAAAACATGCGTAGTGCTTGGGGTTTGTTCTTTGTCAGGGGCTGTGGCTGGGGGTCTTAAAAGTGGTTTATGCTAAGTCTGGGGGAATCATCACAGTTCTGTTTTTAGAAAATGCTTTAAACTTTATATTTTATGACTTGTTACACATATTTTATACAGTATTTTCAATGGCTGTATCGATAGTTGTGTAATTAAAAACGGTTATTGTACGTATGACAGAAAATTTATGGTAAGTGTATGATTACCAATACTACTATTCAAAAATGTTTTTTTAAAGTGTCTGAAATTTTTGTAAACTGTTTACAATGAAAGCTTAAGACATATGGAGTTTCAACAATTAAAATAAGTACTTATAAGAACTTTTAGACGGCAGGGTTACAAGTATCCGCGGATTCTAACTATTCACAGCCGGTTCTGGACCCTAACCCCCGCGAATACGGGGGACTCACTGTATTCGAAATTGGAGAATCAAAGATGCAAGCAAAATATGACACAAATTGTGCTGACGGAATTTTGTGTTATCGTGCCCCAAAATCCACTTGATATACAGTGGGCTATGATAAGGTTTTAGCCACCCTTGATTACAGCAATTTTGGCTTGTTTAATAACGTCTCTTCCTTTTTTTTTCAGACAATACCGTGTTAGTGTCAAGCTACTCTCATCTATGTATAATAGTTCACTGATATCTTGCAATGAAAGTTTGTGGAAGTAAGGAAATTATTGAATTTCCACAAGGGCAAATAATAAGATGGCATCAGTGTGGCAAGTCAAATAGAGAAATTGCTAGTTTTTTCCAGGTTAATCATCAAACGGTTAATAATATTGTCAATAAATTTAATGAAGAAGGCCATTGTCGTGTGGAACAACGTTCAGGAAGACCAAGCATCGTGTCCGAGTGAAAAAAAAGGACACTGAAGAGGGAAGTCATCGGAAACCGTCGTCAGAGCGTCAAAGATGATACCAGAAGCATGAAAATGTCGCCATATGCGGTGAGAAAGACTCTGAAAGCGCTAGGCTATCAAAGAAGAGTTGCAAGAAAGAAACCCTTAATTTCAAAGGAACAGGTGTATGGACTGGGCGAAAGAATTCGAGAGCAAAGATTATGAATTTTGGCAGTCTGTAATTTTGTCAGATGAAAGTAAATTCTACCAATATTCTAATTCGAGATTGGTTTATGTTTGGAGAAATCAGAATGAGACTTGGATCACTGAATGTCTGCAGGCGATCGTGAAACATGGTGGGGTTGGAATGGGGTGCTGTCTGGTTTGAAGGGAAA